TGGATCGGCACCAGCCACGCAGCGCTGGCGAGCGGGACACGTATTTCACCCGTTCCGTAATTCCCAGGGCCAGGAATGTTGGAGCCCTATCAGACGGGGCTCTCCGGTTGGCCAGAGCTCGGAGCTGCTCCTCGGCTCCAGCCATCGGCAGCCTGACCTTCCTTCTAGTGTCCCGGGTCCGCATCCTCTTCCAGAGAGGGATTCCCGCGCCTTTCGCATCATTCTGGACCAGCAGATGGCACACACGGTGCAGGAATTCACAGCAGATGGTCCTGCCGTCTTAAAAAAGGAACCACGGTGTTCCTGGGAGTCTGAAGGATTACAGACTGCGGGAGGTCCAGCCTGCAACACCTTGCAATGAAGCTGCAGAACTATTACTATGTTACTTTCGAAAAAGTTTATTCCATATAACATTTTTATTTAAAAGCTACTGATATTAGACAGGAAACATGAGTAATTTTTGACCATCTGTAGTTGTTGATCTCGCAGAGATCGTGTGGATCACTAGAATGAGAATTAACATTTGCTTTGCCAGAACATCAGAACATGAACCATGTGATCCAGTCCAGACTTGCACAGGCTGGATAAACAGGTCTGGCCACCAGCTTGTTAAATTGAAAGGACAACTGCCTTTTCCATGAGCTGTGTCTGAAAATAAACTGAACCATTCTCACAAAGAAAGGCTTTGGGTACAAAACTCCAGGGGAAGTCAGCTCATGGATTAATTTTAAGCAGGTGAAAGTTCCTTATTGCAACTCCATATAATTTAGGATGTGGACATATTTTCTTTCTGGCTACCTTGTATTGTGTCTGCAATTTGTGTCTAAAAAATTTGCAGACAATGCCTGTCCATCCTGCTCCAGCAAGGGGTTGGACTAGCTATCATCAACTAACTGTGTCAGATTAGTTTAATTAAACCAAAGTGAGCTCTATGGATGTGACTACAGCTAGATTATGTTACATTTATGGGCAAAAAAATCTTCAGTGTTTAGGACATGTCACTTTGTGTAAGATGCTGTAGTTCTTCCCTGCAGTGAAGAGAGATTTAGGCATTGGTTTGCTGCAGAAATTTATCTAAAGTCAGTATTTTGGTCTCCAAAATACATCACCACTAGGGAACAGCTTATCTAAAATATTGCTTAAATCTCTTTGAAATGAGGACAACAGTTGGACTTGTAGAATCACGTAATGGTTGAGGCTGCAAGGCACATCTGGAGATTGCCCAGTCCAGCTCCCCTGCTCAAGAAGGGTCAATTACAATAAATAGGCTGCTCAGGACCCTGTTCGCTCAGGTTTTTAGTGTCTCCAAGGATGGAGACTCCACAGAAGGCTCATTTTTTTTTTACTCCCTCCCAGCAGGTATTGGTAACACATTGAACACTCTCTTCTCCAGGCTGAACAGTCTCACCTCTCTCCATTTCTTCTTGTATGCCAGATGCTCTGATTCTTTTATCATCTTTGTGGCTGTTTGCTGAACTCGGTCCAGTATGTCACTGTCCTTGTCCCTGTTCCTTGTCCCTGTCCCTGCCCAGCACTGGACACAATAGTCCACATGTCTCAGCAGTGCTGAGTAGTGGGAAGAATCACTTCCCTTTTGTTTCCCACAGTTGTCACAGTGGGGTTTTCTGTTATAATTGTGTAACTCTTTTTTTTTTGCTAAGGAAACTGCCATTTTCAAGATAAATGTACAATAGTTTTATATTTAACATCTACACGCTGCAAGCCAAACAAAACCTCTATGAAAACAAGGTGCTATACATATTTTTTCTCCTCACAGAGAGCAATGGGAGAATAAATAATACATAATACAAGAGCAGTGCATAATTTGTAATGTACTACTGGCAGGCAGTAGGATACCATGAGGATAAGTAATGTAACAGCATGCATGGAACACAGCTAAAGAGTTTAGACTCTATTTTATTTTATCAATGCAGATTTTTTTTGCTGACATTTGTAATTTGAACTTACACAGTGTTTTGGGTTACTTGGAACTTGTCTGCTTTTCTGAATTGGATTAAATAATCAAACAATTCCTGTGTTGGTTTAGGAGGCTGTTTACAGCTGTTTGTTTCAACTGTTCCACCCTCCCTTGTAAGTGCTGATAAACAGCCTGTTTTGCACGTGACAGTAAGGTACCCTCACTTGTATTAAGATAATATTTAAATTAATTATATCCTTTCTTTACATATGAAAATACATTTTAAAATATTTCCCTGCATTAAAAAAAAAAGTGGAGTTTTTTCAAAATACTGCCAAGGCAACAAGTAGGATCAAGTGATTAATTAACAGATAACCAGATTGCAGGTATAGCAGCTGCCTTATAACTTACAGACTGACAGGTTCATCATTGTTAAAATAATAATTCTCAGTCACAAAAGGCTTTTATTTTCCAGTGCCCTCATTAATTTAAAGAATCCTAGTAAATATATTCCTGTCTCCTTTTCAGCAGGGGTGTGTCTTTTATATTGTCTTATCATTTGCATATTTTCCTTTAAAATAGCTCTATTCAAATAACACAATGCCTGAGAGAGTAAGTGAAGTACATAGGGTCAGCTAATATTCTTTGCAGCTATTTTTAAGTTAAAATGTGGAGGGGAGGGATAGAGCTTTGGTCATTTTAGGTGCATGGTGGCTGGAGTGAGACAGATCTGTGGCATTTTTGTGAATGGAATGAACACAAGATGTCACCCTAGCTGTGAGATAACTCCAACACAGAAATGCCATTAGTTGAAGAGGAAAGGGAAGGAAGGGTTTATTTTATTTATTTATTTATTTATTTATTACAAATTGTCCATGATGTCTTCCTTAATTTAACTGTCACAGAACACAGTTTCACTACAAAATTTACTATGCTTTGCTGAAATTTTAAATTCAATTCTGTTGTGCCATTTATGATTTTTTTAATTGTTGTTTTAAAGTAGGTTCCTGAAATTTGAAGCCAGGTTTTACTTCCTTGAATGTTTCCTATTGTTAGTGAAAAAGATGGAGAGCAGAATGCAGTATTTTTCTGAGTTTTCTTCAGTTTCATTTGTTTTCATACATTACCCTGGATGTTTAAAAGCTTACAGAAGGATGCAATGACAACTGTTGTGAAGAACTTTCAGACAACATCACCTGGCTAAATTGTTTTGTTTCTTCCTAAACTGTGTAAACCTTTTTGTGCTGAAGAATAGTATTTTCTTTATGGAACAATTTGAATTTCCTTTTACCTTTACTTTAAATGATGCAAAATTCTTCCTTCAAGGAAGAAGGGGTTGAAAATCTTGAATGAAAGAAAACAGTATTTAAACAGTGGTAGCATCATTCTTCTGGTTATGGATGGAGAACTGATACTTTAATTATGAAACTCCTTGAACCCAGGCCCTGAGTTCAGTAATACTGACAGCATTCCTGTATTCAGGAGGACATTTATGCTTTAAATGTTTGTTTCCTTCCTGTATAAAATAAAATAAAAAAAAAGATTTGACAGTCCAGGCATCTGTGTGGGACTTTTGAGGACAGGATTCATTGCCTTGTTATGCTGTAAATGCTCAAAATATCTTAAGTGATTGTTCAGACTTTATTTTTCTCATCCATACGATGAGAATCTCTTCATCCATAAGATGGGGATAGCCATCTTACATCTTTACTCTCAGTGCCTGTTTGTACTTCAATAGCAATCCCATAAGGCAAGGACTAGTTTAAAAAGTACATTTTTATGGGACCTATAGCAAAGAAGGCCAGTATGTATCTGGGCACTATTGCAATATTAAACAAAAGTGTATAACTCTTAACCACCAACATTTAAATATACAAGTGATAGTAAAATACTATTTTGTAAGAAGCTGTACATCTTAAGGGACCAGCTTATCATAAAGAAAATACCAGGTGAGATCATTCTCACATTTGCTGCAAGGCACAGCTAGGAATGCTTTTACTAGTGTATTATTAGTATGCTCCTACATCCATAGTCTTACATTACTCTTCTTTTTTACATCATTCTGCATGTCCTTAAACCAGTGTAAGCTACATTTATTCTTTAAGACCCTTTCAGATTGCCATTTAAAGGAGTTTTGATATTGCTTAAAATGATAATAGTTAATTATTAGACTGTTATGTAATATTGCATTTTTTGATTGAAATTCAGTTGGAGCTCAGACACTCAGCACTCCATAAGAGAATGTTCAATAGCTTGTATTATTGGACTCTCAGCTTTTATGGTTCAAGCCTTTATAAACTGTGTCAAGCTGTGATAGTTATAATTATTGCACGTGTTGGCTCAACCTATATAGTGCAGTCATAATGCATTAGACTTTCCAACTTTCACTTGCCTGTCCTTTATTATCAGTGACATTTTCCCTTACAGGTTCAGAGCAAGCATGATGGCTTTATGATGTGCTGTAAGATTTAACAAAACCAACTTTTTTTTTTTTTTTTTTTTTTTTTTTTTTCCCCTGTTAAAAGCTGCTGGTGAAGAAGCCAGGAGATGGCAGTCTTTCTTAATGGATCAAAGTCAAATTCTACTGGTGATGATAATTCATGTTCTTGTGCTCCAGAATAGGGAAAGTTTTGAAATTAAGTGCAGGAAGAGCCACACATCTTGTTGGCATGGCAAGCCACTGCATGCTTGACCCCTCTGTTATCTTCCAGAGTCTTTTCCTTCATGTGTCAGATCTTGAACAATCATGTAAATCCATGGGGAATCATAGTCTTCCCAGGCTTCAGATTGTCTTTAGCGTGGTCTGGCTGTTTCAACATACCTGAACTACAGTTCTGTCCTCTCTGGTAATGCTGACAGGAGAATTCAATGACTATCCCACCTGCCTAAGACTGTGTACTTCATCTGAAGACAGGCTATTTTGGAGAGGTCATGCTGTGTCTCTTTCTTTATTTGCTCCTAACAGATACCAACCACTATTCTTGGACAACTCCGAGCCTCCACATGGGGTCGAAGTGGTTTTAACTGGCTGTGATGCTTTTGATCTCGTTCATGTAATCCAGCAAAAAGCAGTGTCATATCAGCTTCTATCCCAGTGGGATATCACCGCAATAGGTTATGTGATTCTCTCTTCCAACCTGAAGAAGTAATTGCTGCAGGGCAGTATTAGATATCAATTTCTTTTGAGCTGCTGCCAAACATAAACAAGATCTTCTTACCTTTCTGTA